ACATGTAATACTATATGTAAGACTTTAAACAGTAAAGAATTTTAAAAATAAATAAAAACTTCTGCCTTCACAGCGCCTACAATCTGCTGGGAGGAGACAGGCAAACAAATCAGCAGGTAAGCATGTAGCATGTCAGAGGGTGATGCATGTTACAGGAGGGGAGGAGCCAGCCTGTGGGTATTAAGGTGGGGGGGGGCAGGTAGAGAAAGCCTTAGCTAAGTAACAAGAGGAACAAAGCCGGAATCTGGGGAAAGATTACTCCAGGCAGAGGGAATCGTGGCGAGTGCAAAGGCCCTGAGCAGGAGCGTGCTGTCCTGCCCGTGGAACCCTGAGGTGGAACCCTGAGGAGGCCGTGTGGCTGGAGTAGATTGAGGGGAGAAGACGGGGAGGGAAGGGCGGAGAGGGGATCCGGTCATCCAGGGCCTTGTAAGGGCCTGTTCTCTGCGTGAGATGTGCAGCCATGAGAAGATGACCTGACTTTTGTTTAAAAAGAGAGCCCTGCCTGCTCTGCTGACAACGGATGAAGGGGCTGGGATGCAGAGGTGTCACAGGATATTCCAAGCAGGAGCAGACGGTGGCTTGGGCACAGTGCGGGGTGTTGGGGAGAGCAGCAGAGTCTGGACGTATTTTGAAGGTTAACTAGATTTGCCAAGGCATTTGGCTGGAAGATGACAGGGAAAGAGAAAAGTTGAGATTTTCTTCCAGGGCAACTGGAAAGGTGGAGTCGCCCCTTCCTGAGGTGGGGAAGGCTGAAAGGAGCAGGCCTGGGGGCGGGGGGAGGGCGGGGATCAGCATCTCAAAGCCGGCCTGGTTGAATGTGAGATGCCGGCTAGGTCCCATGGGAAGAGGAAACAGGATTTACAGGTCTGCAGAGCTAAGACAACAAAAACAAAGTCTCAGTTCTCCCGACTCCCGGTAGAGCTCTATTCCACAGGACGCAGGACAGACAGGACTCTCGGGTGGGTGGAGAAGTTCCATCCCTGCGCTCACAACTAGGGCGCAAGGAGAGGAAATACGGTAATCTGCGCGCGCG